GCTAGAAAATTATATGGTGATGCTAATCGCTATCTGAAGGTTTAAGGACCTGAGATCTTTCCCTTTTACACAAATACATGTGCAAATCCTGGCTGAGGGGAGCTCCTCAAGGTAGATCCACTGACATTCCCTCTGCCAAACACGGCCTTGGCTCAGGATCTGCTGCTCTGTGTGACTGAGCTCCCCCTGGGCAGCTGGTTTGGGTGGGTTGGTCTGACCACCTGCCCTAAACACAGTGCAGCAAGGGCTGAGGAACTCCTCAGGCTGGTGGATTGAGAGCAGGGGAACTGCTGCCTGCTGGCAGCTCAGCGGGAGGGACAGGAATTCTTTGCCCTGGAAACAGGAGTGGGATGCATTTCCAAACAGCCCCTCCTTCGGCTTTGCAATATCCCAAACGTGGACAGTTACCACCACATTTAATTTCTGTCTTCCCCCTCCTTGAAGAAGCTGGGGAAAGAGCCCAGAAGACCTGACTGGGGGTGTTATTGATTCTCACTGTCCCATCAGCAGGACCATGTGCACCAGGCATTTCCCACTGCCAGGGGAAGGAAGGTTAAAGCCTCTCCTGACAGGTTAACAGCACGATTTGCAGCAACAGCTTAAATAAATGGTTGCAGGCACGGAAGACTAGCAGGAAGCTAATCCTTTAAATACTTAAGAGCAGCTACTACTTCAGCCCAAGTAAATATTTCAAAATAAAATTAATTAGCAGTGACGGGTGGATTTGTTCTCCTTTGTTTTAACAGCCCAGGATGAAACGGTGATTCCTCCTCAGAACTTTGGCTTCAGTGCCAAACCTGCTGTTTCCCAGGAGCTGAATGTCCTCCCAAAGAGGATTCATCACAGTTTTGTTCCTCTCTGTGAGTGCAGAGCTGGAAAAGCTCTACAGGAACCTCGTGGGTCTGTGTTGCAGCCTTTGTGCTGCTCCAGGGATGAGAAGCGACCCAGGATCCAACCCAAGTCCAGTGTGGAGGAAGGAAGAGTCACTTCCTGATCCTGAGCTCAGCTCTGTCCATGCAGGCCACAAACAGATCACAAACAGATCACAAACAGATCACAAACAGATCCCAAGAACTGCCCAACTTCCCATGGAAAGGAGTCTTCTTAACACCTTGCTCCACATGGAGAGAGCAGGGAAGGAAAGGCCTCGGGGTAACAAGAACCAAAACAACCCAAAACAAAGTCTGCCCAAGCCCAGAGAAGCAAATCAGTCAATTAAATCATTTGGGAACAATAATTCCTAATCCACAATTAAGCTTTCTCACCCCACCCTTGACCCTCTTAGCTCCATCTCAGGACAAAGCCAACTCTCCTGGGAGGCAGGAACCTCTCATGGCCTTGCTGAACTGTCTGGACTAATTTTAGTCAAATCCAACATTCCTAAGAACCCTCAAAGCTGTTTGTGTCCTGAGGAAGGAGAAGGGAAGTGCTTTGCACATCCACATTTCCCACGGGAGGGTGGAACACCAAGTGCCACCTGCCCTGGAGCATGGAAGCACAGCTGGGATGAACTCGGAGCTCTGGGAAAAAAAAGGGCAAGGAACGTTTCTTTTCACCAGGTTGAGAAGGCAGGGAGTGAAAGGCAGGATTGCTGAGTTCCTTGAGCTGGGAGAGGGGAACCAAAGGTCTCTGCTGGTGGTTGGGAGAGCAGAGAGACCCCAGGGCTGGGTGGTGGCACTGACCTGCTGAGGGGATGCAGCTCCACGGGCAGCAACGAGGAGAGGCCACCTGGAAAGGCAGGATCAGCCAAGGAGTCTTGGAGGGGCTTTGCAAGTTGAGAACTCGGGAAGAGCAGGACAAAGAACCCCAGGGAAGGGCCAGGAGAAAGCTCAGGCTGGTTCAGGCACAAGGTGTGAGGAGCAGTTGTATGAATGGGCTGATGTTGGGACTTTTAAGGAGCAGGCACGAGGGGGAGGAGTGTGGAGAACACGTGGAGACACTCGTTTAGTGCAGGATTGAAGCCCAGATCCCATTAGAAGGGACAGGGCTGTTGTGCTGAGTCATTTCCTCCTGCCCCGAGGGGTTTTTACGTGTCTTTTGTGCCACACAACCCCCACGTTTCTGTCCCGAGCCTCTCTGTGCAAAGTGATGCTGAATTTGGCTGATTGGAGGTGACAGCAAGCAAACCCAGGCTGGGCTGAATGTTCCTGCAGGATGGGCTCCAGGGAGCACCAGGGATGCTGCTGCTCATCGTGCTGTGTGTTCACACCCAGCCTTTGGGCTGGGGCTGTACTGACAGCCCTGACATTCTCCCTCCCTCCCTCATTTCCACACAACTTCCACTGAAACGTTTGCAGGACCAAGGTCAGGAACCTGCTGCCCAGCCCAGGCTCCTCACAGCACCCCAGGGGGACAGCACAACAGGAGGAGGTAACAGGAGAGTGAGGAAACATCAACAAGGAGTTACAAACTCACGTTCCCTCTCGCTGCATCACCACGGGACCAGCAAAGGGCTTTGCTCTTCTCCCCATCCCAGGAACCCCCCCAGCACAGGGAGCAGAATCTCAGACAGAAGGACCAACAGGGAGGCCAAAAACATCCACAGCACAAGTCAAGCTGCTGCCTGGAGCACCTGCTTTCCCAGGATTGGGCTGCAGTGCCTGCAGCTGCTTCCCTGCATGGGGAATGATGTCAGTTGGGAGTTCATGGCTGGACTCAGTCAATGATCCTGATTTAAAGGTCTTTTCCAGTCTGAGTGATTTTATGATCCTGTCTTTTCCAAGGCTCTCTGTGTGGACAGAGGCAAAATCCTGAGTGTGTGGGACTCAGCATTGAGGCTCCACAGCCTTAACTGGGACTGAGAGCCCAGGACAGGGTGAGGATCCCTCTGGGGCTGTGGCCTCACCTGGATCTCCAGGCTGGTGAAACTCCTCCTCACCTTCCCCTCATCACTTCAGGCAACCTCCAGAATGATATATAATTACATAATTATATATAATTATATAATACATGAATGCAGAAAATAAATATATACTTACAGATCTAAAACCTGGTTTTATATAATATATATAAAATATAATGTAGATAATAAAGAATATATAGAATACAGTATATAAAATAAAGAATATATATTTTATTTATATTTTATATATATAGGAATACCCCAGGGGAGTTTCTCTGGGACTGCTGAGGCCAGAGTGCTCCAGAGTCACGTTTCCAAATGTCTTTCCAGCAACTTCAGGGTATTGAATTAGGCAGGTAATTGTGTAACTACTCCCTGCAACAGCAACAGAAGAACATCACTGAGGAGACACTGAGGGGAAGCAAAGGAGCTGAGCCAGCTGTGCAGATCCAGCAGGCCCAGCCTGGCAGGAGTGGGAGGGAAATTCAAAGGATCTCATGGAAAAGTATCAGCACAGAGAGAGTGGAACAACAGCCCCCTTTGGGGAGGAAACCTCATCCCTCGGGCACGTTTGGACAAGGAAAAAGAGCTGCAGCACCAAGCACCTCAAACCCAGGCTGAGGGAAACAACATTTGCAGAGAGGTTTCCACATCTCTTTAAATAAATGTGAATTCATGCTATTTGGCAAAAAAAGTCTGAAGCCTGGCTCTGAGGTACAGTACAGCCAGGAAATTAATAATAGAGGTTTGTAATTAATAGAGAGGGAGACTTTGCTCTGGAGGAAAGCTGTGCTTCAAATGCAGAGTGTTAACTCAGAGGATGGACTCCTCTGGACCCACAGATTTCCAGGGTTCAGAATCCCTTGTTTTCTTTCCCAGAAGTGGTTCCTTGTCTTCCAAATTAGATGTAAACTGGCCCCTGCAGAGGATTCTTCCCTGTGGCCACCCCTCACCCAGCCCTGGGAGCACGAGGGCAGGCCCTGCTCTTATTCATCCCCTGTGCTGCTTGAGGGCTCTGCTTCTGTCAAATAAAAGCAAATTCATTGCTTGCCTTTCCTCCAGGAATGTCAGCATGTCCTTAGAACCACAGAACAACCAAAGCTGGAAGGAATCCACAGGGATCAGCAAAGTGCAGTTCCTTCTCCTGTCGCCCACGTTCATTTATCCTACTTGACCCCCACCTCCCAACTCTCTGCCTCTCAGCCCCACCTAAACATCTTCTCCCTGCCCCTCCCTTTGCTTTTTCCATCCAAACTTCCCTTCCACTTCCTCTCCCCTTTCCCCAAACCCAAACAAACCCACGTTCCCATCCCCTAATAGAGGCTGATTCATGGTTTGACGTCAGCAGCTGCTCTCCTGGCCAGACCCAGCTCTAATTGACACATTCCAGCTGCTGCCAGGAGCACGTGGCCCATCTGGAAGCCGGGCAGTGCTGGGAATGTGGGGGCTGCAGTGACACAGCACAGAGGGGACTGCTCAGCTGTGCCTTCAGAGGTGGAAAAGGGAGATCCTGGGTTTGATCAGTTATTTTTTAAATGCAGCACTGGAATTAAGGCAAATGAGGGGAGAGATGGAGGTTAAAAAAAGAACTTGGCTCGGGGTTTGGGTTTAATCCAGAACACTGAAGGAGGAAAAAAGGCAATTTTAGGAGTGGGTTCAGAGCAAGGCGTTTATCCAGCACTGATCTCACCAACCTCTCCATGGATCTCCATGGATCTCCATGACCAGCAGTCACAACCTGCCCTCTCCCTTCCCCAGCCCACCTGGGAATTGTGCAGCAGCCACCACATTCCACCAGGCACTGCTCCTGGAACCCTGCCCAGCAGAAGGAGCCGAGTACTTGGCCCCTGAACCAGCTCTGGGGGTCTTTGCCCATCCAACCAGGACTGAGGGGCTCCAAAAGCAAACCCTGACCTGGATGGGCAGGAAAAGGTGCTGCCTCAGCTGGATTCTCCTCCCTGCTGCAGCAATGCCAGCTCTGCCCAGGGCAAGCTGAGGGTCCTGGAGCAGATGGAGCCGTTCCAGCACTGACTGCATCCACCCCATCAGCACTGAGGAGCTGGAGGCAGCAGCAGCAGCTGCAGGTAAAGCCCAAATCTGGTTGCCCAGAACAGTTTTTAGCACCCTCTGAGACCTGGGAACGAGAACAAACTTAAGGTTACACAGAATATAGAACTTTATTCATGTTAAATGCATCCACTCGCACCCCCACCTGTCACACGTTCTCCAGGACACCTCAGGCATGGAGCTCTGCCTGCCCTGACTGATGCTGGCAAAGCAACCCAGAGGGAATTTGGTCAGTGCAAACTACACAGGGAATTCTTCTAGCACTGGTCTGGGCAGCCCCTGCACAGAATATTTGCTCCACGAGGACAGAACGACCCCAAACCAACAGACAGCTGGAATTCAAGTGTCTCCAGGAATGCCTCCAACAGCCACATCAGTCAAACCCAAGATTTTTGGTATTTACACACTTGAGCCCTGCTCTGGATTCCAACCCTCCTCCCGGTGTCCATTCAGTTGTTGAAAATAATAACCAAAAATCCTGGTGAGGGATAAGCGGATTTTGCCCAAAGCAAGAGTGGGCTGGGAAAAGCTCTCCTGGGAAGAATGTGCCTGTGGGGAAATGAGCTCGCTCAGCCTGACAGGGAGCTGTGTAGCAAGTGCAGTGTGTAAATTATTTCCTACTGTGCTGTTTTCCTCCTCCTGTCAAGCACATCAGACTTGAGCTACTCCAAGGAAAGCTCAGGACAAGGACTCTGGAAGCATTTCTGATGGACAGAGAGCAAAGGGAGAACGGAACTACGGTGTTTGCCTGCAAAGGTAAAGCCAACAACAACCACAATCTCATGGAAAACTAAACTAAACTCTATAAAACAGTCAGAAAAAAACCAGGATCTGCTGCTGAAAGCGGCTCAGCTACTTCTGGAAAACTGCAAGAATTGCCACGCCCGGGAAGGACTTCCCAGCAGCAGGAAAGAGGAAGAACACCATAAATCCCAAGTTCTTTGCAATTCCTTTTGGTCAATTCCGTGTTCCAGCCCCTCCCCAAACCCCCTACCCCCCCCCAGAACTGGCCAACCTGCAACACCTCAAACCCAGGAACCGCCCGAGGGACACACTGGGAGGACCTGCCAGGCCCCCCAGGCCCGGGGGGGGAGCAGAAACCAGCTCTGAGCAACCAAGGAGGGCGGGGTGGGGTGGTTGTTTCAGTCGTCAAAGTCGGGAATGTCGTCGTAGGAGTAGCCCCGGTAGCCCTTGGAGGCGTAGTAGGCGATGCGCAGGTGGTAAAAGCCGGGCAGGAACACCAGGATGCCGATGATGAGCACGGGGATGGCCCTGTCCGTGTCCTGCAGGGGCACAGCGAGGAGATCTGCATGAGGGGCCTTCCTTTCTCCCACATCCCGGCCTAGGGGAAGGTGTCCCTGCCCCTGCCAGGGGGTTGGGGTTGTCTGTAAGGTCCTTTCCCACCCAAACCATTCCAGGATTCCATGGTTCATCCCTCAGGCCTGGCTGGGGGTGCTTTTCTGGCTCTACATCCTGCCCAGAGCAGCTGTGGCTGCCCCTGGATCCCTGGAAGTGTCCAAGGCCAGGCTGGAGCGACTTGAGCTGGTGGAAGGTGACCCTGCCCGTGGCAGGGGTTGGAACAGGATGATCTGTAAGGTCCCTTCCAACCCAACCCATTCCAGGATTCCCTGGTTGGTCCCCAAGGCCCGGCTGGCTGAGAACCAAAACTCCATCCAAAATCAGAAATATCTCAGGTGTCATCAGGCTGAGCCTTGTAATCCTCTCCTGGCTGCAGGAACCCCTGGAGGGACCTTCTCCTGATCCCCCCTGGATGTGCAGCCAGGGCTGGGAGCCCCAGCTGAGCTGCCTGTGCCTGGAGAGCCCCCGATAGAGCCCCAGCCCTGCTGGCTCCACGCTGATAAGCGGAGCTGCCAACGGACAGCGATTCCCTGCGGCCAAGGGGCAGGGGCAGAGGCACCCAGGCAGCTCCAAGAAGCAGATCCCCCCCCTTCCCATGGATCCACAGAGATGGGAAAACTGCTCCTGTGCCCTCACCACTCTCCTGCCCGAGTCACCAGATCTGCACTGGAGGTGATGACCCCAGGCCGAGGTTTTCCCAGGACAACGAGCTGGGAGATGAAACTGGACCCCAGGAGGGCAGGAAAACTCCGCCCTCCCTGGCAGGTGCCAGCCCAGCTCTGAGCCTGCTCCAGACTGCAGGGATCACAGGGATCTGCTGCCAGGGAAATGGCACAACACTGTGGTGGGAATGACTTTCCAGGTCTTTGGCTCTGGATTTCCACACTGAACACGATCACAGGATCATGGAGTGGTTAAGGCTGGAAAAGACCTGTGAGGTCATCAAGTCCAACCACAACCCACCACCATGTTCACCATTAAGTGTCACATCCACGTGTTTTTTGGACACTTCCAAGGGATGGTGACTCCACCACTGCCCTGCACAGCCTGTTCCAGGGCTGAATAACCCTTTCCATGGAGAAACCTTTTCCTAATATCAAACCTAAATCTTTTCCTAATATCAAATCTAAACCTTTTCCTGATATCAAACCTAAACCTTTTCCTGATATCAAATCTAAACCTTTTCCTGATATCAAACCTAAACCTTCTCCTAATATCAAACCTAAACCTCCCCTGGTACAACCTGAGGCTGTTTCCTCTGCTCCTGTCACTTGATGGTTCACGAGGGCTCAGGGCAGCTTTGAGGGCTGGGCAGGCAATGCAAAACTGATAACAAGTGTAATTAAAGTGCAATTAAAGTAATTAAAGCACTCACTCCTTTGCTGATGTACCCTGCCAGCAGCAGGGCTCCGATGATGATGAGGAAGGTCCCGATCATGAAGAGCACAACAGCCAGGGCGATGGCCTTGTAGGGGATCTTTGGTGGGCTCTTCTTGAACTGGATGGCAAAACCCCAAATACAGCCCAGGTTAACTCAGCACAGCTCCCCTCCCAGCAGGGCAGGGCTGGGAATCCCACGGGTGGCACGGGACACGCGGCTGAGGCAGCTCCTCCACGAGGGACCCTGCCCATGGAGACCCTGCTGAGCCAGCCCTCCCACCCAGCACTTCACTCTGCCCCAGGCCTCACCTCCCCCCGTGGAAACTCATCTGCTAAACAACCAGCCCTGTTCCCAGGGAAGCTCCAGGGTTTTCCAGAGGGGAAGGGCAGAGGGGGTGGCTCCCACCCGGCTTTGTCCCTCCCTGAGCTGCAGCTGCTCTACCAGAGAGGCACAAAGGAGCAGCTGCCCATCAGTGCAGAGCTGCCTGTCCTGCTTCACAGTTCCCTTTTCCTACCTGCAGGTCAATGTATCCATCATCAGTGCTGGAGAGCTTGGAATATTTCACCTTGCTACTGGGAATGCCAGCGGAGAGGTTGGTGCGGGACGGCATCATTCCATGGAGGGCTGGGCATCACCCAGAGCCTGGGGAACACAGGCAAGAGCAAAAACATGGGAGAAAAAACCATGGGTGGTGGAGTCTGGGAGCAGCAGATCAACTTTCTGAGGGGAAGCTAAAGAGTCAAGGCTGTTCCAACAGAAAGGGAAAAAATTTGCTCTTCAAAAATCGTTCTTCGTAAATTAAAACTTTTCAACGTATTGAAGCTTTTGATTCTAAGCTTAAAATGCAAAATGGGTGCAGCTGCAAGAGGGTTTGCCAATTCTGAAAGCAAAAGCCAAGCTTAAGGTTTGAACCTGTGCTTAAAACCAGAGTGAAATTCCCGAATATCCTGCCATGCCCAGCCCAGCTCCCGTTTGGCAGTGGGATCCCAGCCCCTGCTGCTTCTCAACAGGGACACCAGCAAATGAACCCAAACCAGAGAGAAACAAAGCAGCTTTTTTGCTGAGAAAGCGTGGAATAAAGTGAACAAAAGTGCACGTTCCAACTGTATCCAGGAAAGGATAAAGACACTCCTTCCAGAACAGGATTTAGCGTTAAAGGGGATGCATCTCCACAAAACCCTTTGTGCCCCCACGTTCCCCACTCAGGTTTGTTCCTCCTGCTGTAAATTTGACTTTTTTTAAAACAAAAACCCAAAGCCCTCTGATCTTAAACCCCCACAGCTGAACCTTCAGTTTGAACCTCGGGGCTTGTTTTGGTAGCAAAACCCAAATATAGAAAGTCTTTAGGAAATACCTCCCACCCACAGGGCGGTATTCCCAGCTCCTCACACATCCCTGCTTTTCAGGTCCCAAACACCCCCAGGGTCTCCTAAAAACCCCCACATCCCTGGGGGTGGATGTGCAGGAGGGGAAGAAACCAAAATAAATCAGCGTTTCTGAAATGAAAGCCACATTTCCCCACTCTGCTCCATCTCCCCCTTTTCTCCTCACCCACCACCCCATTATTCACCAGTTATTTTAGTAACTTCTGTGGAATTATTTCTCATTGACACCTGCACAAGTTGTCTGCCTTTCCCATACACCACCTATGAACAAGAAAGAAGCTATTCATGATAAATGCATTAAAAAAATTACTCTCTCGGGGAGTTTAAGGGCCAGGTTTAACCCCATTAAGCCTCACACCGAGCCCGGAGTGCCTTAAATCGCTCCAGCAGCAGAAACAGGAATATTTACTTCATATAAATAAACACGCAAGGCGTAAGCAACTTATAAGGCCAAAATAACCAAGGCTGTAATAATCCCAGATCTCAGCTGTGTTTTAAAGCCGGGGGAGGATCCGGGAAACGCGAGCGGGGATTCCGCGATTATCCCCTAAAAAGAGGAGCAATATTCCACATGGGACATACGGAAGGGCTGGGGGGGATAAGGGAGGGGTCACTCCGGCCCTTTTGGGAGCTCAGAGCTCACCGGGGACACCCCAAAACGTCCCCGGGACACCCCAAAAGGTCCCTGGGACATCCCGAGGTGTCCCCGGCGCATCCCGAGGTGTCCCCGCACCGCCGGTCCCCGGCTGGCCCCGGGCGCTCCCAAACCCCCACAAACCCCCCCAAAATCCCCTCCCCGAACCCCCCCAGCCCCCGTACCTGGTGCCGGCCCGGCCCTTCCGCGCTGCCCGGGAAGTTTATCCCGCTGACGGAGATTTCCTTCCAGGTCACGGCGGCGCCCGCGCCCCGCTGCCATTCCCGGCCTTTCCTTCCAGGGAAAAAACCGCTGGAGTTCCAGAGTTCTTGGACCGTGTCCCGCGGGATCCCCCCCGGGGTTCACATCTGGGGGGGTTTATGGAGCAGCGGCTCCGTCCGCGCCTTCCCATAGAGCGGCTTTCCCAAAGGATGCTCGCGGGTGTCTTCCAGCCGGGAATATGCCGGGACATCCCTGCAGGGCCGGGGAGGGGACACACACACACACAGAACACCGGGAATGTTAAATCAGAGCGGACAGGGTGCGGATGTTCCTCCTCCAAGGAGCTTCCCAAGGGAGCTGCTTCCTGTGAACGAGTAAAATACGGGCTGGATTTGGAGCCCGAGAAGCCCAATCTCCTTAAATCCCAGAGAATTATCCCTCCCCCCTTCTTATTTATTACCTCCTTGGTAGGAAAGTGTAAATATATAAACTGCTAAAACTGCCTCTCAAACGGGGAGGAAAACCTGGCATTTATTAACACTCCCCAGGCTTTTTTTTGCATTTAGTTGGGGGTTTTTGTTTGTTTTGGTTTTTTTTAAAGGGAACATCCTTTAAAATTTTCATTATCTGGGCCTGGCAAAGTAAAGGTCCAGCTGCTTTCAGGGTTTATGCAGAGACCAGACAGGACAGACGTGGGTGAGGACCAATGGTAAAGGATGTTCATTGCAACAACTTGGTCATTTCAGCTGTGAAAATAAGCAATTAAACAATTTGGCTGATTTTGACAATGTGTTTATGGGTAGAACAGCACAAAGGAAGAGTTTGGTGACCTCTGCTACAGCTGGAAGTTGCACCGAAAGGAATTTGCTTCAATCACTGGATTTACACTCCAGAATCCTTCCCTATTTCCGTGTCACAAATCTTGGATTCTCCGCCAAAGCCAAAGTTCCCACAAAATCCTTCTAAAGCCAGTTTGCCGTGGGCACCACAGGGCTGATCCCACCCCAGCACCACGACTGGAGGGACAAAAAGCCCCCTGGTTCTTTAAGGCTTCTGCCACTACTGTGACTGCTGAAAAACTTCAGAGATCTTCCTTTCCAGGCTTTTCCTGAAGGTCCTGAATTAACCAGCCGAGGAATTTGAGGGTAAATGGAGACACGGGGCAGCTCAGCATGGGAGGCACCTGCAGCACAGCAGCAAATCGGGGTCCAAACCACGGAATCCAGACCGGTTTGGCTTGGAAGGGATCGGAAAGATCGTCTGGTTCCATCACCTTCCACGAGCCCGGCTTGCTCCAAGCCCCGTCCAACCCGGCCTTGGGCACCTCCAGACCATCCCCAGGAGCAAGGCAGGGCTGCTCCCAACAGGATCAAGGTCCAGGGCACGGGGAAATCCTGTCCCCGGCTCCAGCAGGGAGCAGTGTCCGTCCCACGGCGGCACCGCCGCTCTGACCCAGCGGGATCCGTTTCCTCTCCGGCACTGCCACCTTGTGCCATCCTCCCGCTCCGCCACTCGGCCCTTCCAAGGGAGGTTTTCAGGCCGCTTGTGCTCAAGCTATTCCTGAGTTGCTGAGCACTGGGAAGGACGCGGCCCCCTGGAAAAATAGGCTTAAAACCATGGAATCGTCGGGGTTGGAAAAGATCTTTAAGATCAGCAAGTGCAGCCATCAGCCAGCACCACCACCGTGTTCACCACTAACCCATGTCCTCATCCACAGGTTTTTTGGGACATTTCCAGGGGTGGGGACTCCACCACCTCCCTGGGCAGCCGCTTCCAAAGCTTTACAACCGGGGACGGCAGCAGGGAAGGTGTGGGAGAGGCTCCCACCACGGACCTTCCCCGGGCGCAGCTTCACCTCAGAACAGCAGAGCCGGGGCCAGGAGGGGTCCCAGCGTGACCTGGGGGTCCCGGTGCCACCCCTGCCCTCGGGGGAGTCCCCGGGGCAGCCCCAGGGACACTCCCAGCCCGGGGCAACCCCTGCACCCCCTGATGGGATGGTTGTCACAGAACCCCTGCCCTTGATCACAGGCAGGTCACGGGAGGTGAATTCTGCTCCTCGGGTGAGACCCCACCTGCAGAGCTGCTCCAGCCCTGGAATCCCCACAGTCAGAAGGGTTTGGAGCTGCTGGAGAGAGTCCAGAGGAGGCCCCGGAGCTGCTCCCAGGGCTGGATCCCTCTGCTCTGGAGCCAGGCTGGGAGAGCTGGGGGGGTCACCTGGAGAAGGGAAGGATCCAGGGAGACCTGAGAGCCCCTTGCAGGGCCTAAAGGGGCTCCAGGAGAGCTGGAGAGGGACTGGGGACAAGGAATGGAGGGACAGGACACAGGGAATGGCTTCCCACTGCCAGAGGGCAAGGAGAGATGGGATATTGGGAAGGAATTGTTGGCTGTGAGGGAGTTGAGGGGCTGGGCTGGAATTCCCAGAGAAGCTGTGGCTGCCCCTGGATCCCTGGAGTGTCCAAGGCCAGGCTGGAGCAACCTGGATTAGTGGAAGGTGTCCCTGCCCATGGCAGGGGGTGGCACTGGATGAACTTTAAGCCCAGGCAGCTCAGCACCTGACAGAGCTTTGATCCACCCCCCTAAAACACATTTTAACAGGACAAACCCCATGAAATTATATCCTTTTATTTCCAAGTTTCAGTTAGAGTATCAGCTTCAAAAATAAATGAAGTCAAGTCACATAAACTTGTGGCATAATAAAAACATCAACCCTAAACTACACAGGTGAAACTCCAGGAGACATCCTGACTCATTAAATATTGTCCCCCTTCTCCTGCACAAGTTGAGAGGAGTCAGAAATTTCACCTTCAGACAGCATCCAAGAGATTATTGGGAGTACAGGAACAGACTAGGAAAACCCAAACGATTCCTATTTCCAAAGATACCAAAGAGAGCAAGACAAAAAGTCGAAAAATATTTACAAAGGTATCTACAGGCCAAGCCTAACAGTGCTCCCAGGACGCTCCAAGGCACTGGAATTGCTATCACCACCATTCCCTTCTCCAAGCCACGAGCAGATGCCCCTCAGTCCTGCCCCACTTAAGAGCCTTCCTGCTCGTCCTCGATCTTTGGAGCCAGGTAGTACTTCAGGTGTCCCATGTCAGCGATCTTGTACTCCACCACTGCCAAAGAGAAGGGGGGGAAAAGGGTCTTCAGAAGGTTCTACAGCAAATTCAGGTCACAAGTTCCAATCCTGCAAGATTTCTCCGGCAGAGCCACTTGCACTCACCCAGAGGAACGTCTGCAGACATGCTGAGTGTGACTGTAGGGGACAGGGGGGTGGCTTTGGTGAAGAAGTTCAGGTACCTCAGGGCAAAGGTCAGCTGGACTGGCTCGTTCATCTCTATTGTGACCTGAAAAACCAGGGCACAGCTCAGGAAATGCAGCTGCAGCAGCTGCCTCCAGAGAATGGCTCACACAAGTGACTGGGACATCTCAGAGGTCAGCACTTGGGGTCCAGGGCAAGGACCTCGAACTGGCCACGATTTGTGATGTACAATCCACACACCAGGGGCAGACACAGCTCTGTCCCTGCTCACTGCAGGGGCTCATGGAATTGTAGGGCACTCCTGAGCTGGGAGGGACCCACAAGGACCATCCAGTCCAACCCTCAGCCCTGCACAGGCCCAGCCCCAAGGGGACCATCCCAACCCTCCTGGAGCTCTGGCAGCCTCGGGGCCGTGCCCACTGCCCTGGGGAGCCTGTTCAGTGCCAACCACCCTCTGGGTGCACCAGCTGCCCCCTGAAGGTCCCTTCCAAGCCCAGCCCACCCCAAACCCCTCAGGCTCAGCCAGAGCAGCTCTGTGCACTCACAGCCTCCTCCTCCTTGTCCACGTTGCTGGTCTGGGACAGTTTGATGTTGCCGTTGCCCAGCTCTCCGTTGGCAGAGAACTTGACGCCGTCCTTGGCGCAGGAGATGACGACGGCGTCGCCGATGTGGCTCAGGTCGCGGCAGATCCGCGCGAACTCCGCCGACGGCATCTTCACCACGCAGCTGTACTCCTGCTCCTGGGGGCACAGGGAGCGCTGCCCTCACAGAGCCACCTTCACTCACCCTCCAGCCCTGGCACTGGTTTTTAACGCCTTCAGAAATCAGCCGCTCGGGCCCCCACTTACTGGAATGCCGAGCTGCTCCACGTCCAGATCCATCAGCTTCATCTCGTAGTCCGAGACCTTCTCCTGATCTAAAGGAGCAAAGCACAGTGTGACCAAGTGTCCCTGAGAAGTTACCAACCCGAATTTAACTTCTGTTATCCATCAGCTTCACCTCACGATCAGAAACCTTCTCCTGACCCAAACAAACAAGGTGCAGCGTGACCAAGTGCTACCAACCCGAATTCAACTTCTGTCACTCTTCCCCCCGCCCCAAAGCCACCTCAGCGATGACAGTGAGATCCACCTCGTTTCCTTGGGGCTGGAAATCTGGAAGTGCCCCAAACAGCCTCTTACAGGCTGAAAAAAGGACAGGTGAGGGCACCTGTGCCTGGCTCAAACAAGAGCCTTCCCCTTACAAAGGAAGTATTGCTCAAGTTTAGATCTCCAGACTCCCCCAGTTTGAGTATCAGGTGTCCCCTCCCCTTTCCCTGCTATTTCCCTCCCTCTGTGTGGCTCATGAACCACGTGTGGGGTTTGTGAGGCTGCCTGAGAGCATCCCACCAACAGAGGAGCTCCCAAAGTCAACACTCACTCGGTGCCTCGAACACCAGAGCCAAGGTGTCCGCGTTGTCCTCCGCCCGCAGGGTGATGATGTCCTCATTCCCTGCACACTTCAGGATTTTGGACATGCTGGAGGGGGAAGAAAAGGCAGGTGACCCTCAGGATTGGAAGCTGTGATGTTGCAGTTGTCAGAATAAAATACTCCAATCTGTGCTTTCAGTTTAGGATGATGTTGGGACTGCCACTCCCAATTTGTTGATTGGGATAATTCCTGGGTGGAATATCCAAGATCCATGTGATGTTTAGATTTGTATGAACTTTCATAAAAGCAGTGAACTCTTTTTTGGGATCAACCTTCTGGATGCTGCACTCCCAGACAAATGAGAGCTCTCCTTTTAACCCTGCTGGAAAAACAGGGGGTGTAGGGACTGTATTCCATGTCATATCCTGGTGTTATTCAGCCTTCAGAGTCCCAAAGTGCCTCTTGCCCTAAGAGCAAGAGGGTTGAGCATCCTGCAGAGGACAGGAGGACATTCCTGTCCCACAGCTGGACACAGGGACAGAGCTGATTCACAGAGTGGGTGAGGCTGGGAGGTACCACAGAGGGTCACTGGTCCCACCTGCAGGCTGAGCAGCCCCAGCTCCCTCAGCCTTTCCTCTCAGGGGGGCAGCTCCATGTCCCTGGACACAGCACTGCAGGGCTGAGCAGAGGGGCAGGATCGCTCCCTGCCCTGCTGCCAATGCTCTTCCTGATGGCCCTCCGGATTCTGTAAGGACCAAAAAAGGGCAACGAGGCTGGGGAAGGGGCTGGAGCACAAGTGCTGGGAGGAGCAGCTGAGGGAGCTGGGGGGGCTCAGCCTGGACAGGAGGAGGCTCAGGGGGGACCTTCTCACTCTCTGCAACTCCTGACAGGAGGGGGAGCCGGGGGGGGTCGGGCTCTGCTCCCAGGAACCAGCAGCAGGACAAGAGGGCACAGCCTTGAGCTGCCCCAGGGGAGGTTCAGGATGGGCTCGACGATCTCAGAGGTCGTTTCCAGCCTCGGTGCCCGCAGAGCCGCGATCCGTGTCCCCAAAGCTCCATGGCCGCGGCTCCTCCCGCCCCGCGCCCGCTTTTCCCGCCACTCGGCGCCGGCAGTGACGTCACGGCGCGCGCGCCGCGGAAAAAAAAAAGGGCGCGAGATCCGTGAGGGGAATTTGGGGGGGGGGGGGGAAGGGCTGAGGGGGCTCCGGGCCCCCGCGCCCCAAGCGCCGCCCCTTCGCCCCGCATCGCCCCTCACACACCCCCACACCCCTCACACAATCCCCTTCCTCGCCGCCCTCAGCCCGCTCTCGGCCGCCCCGTCCCAGCGCGTCCCGCTGAGGCCTCGTCGCCGCCCGACCTGGACAGGTTGACGCCCATGGCGATGTTGCGGTCGCAGCGGTACGTGTCGAAGCCCTCGGAGCGCAGCGTGAGCTGCACCAGGGAGACGTGCGAGGAGTCCATGCTCTGCAGGCTGATGCCGCCCGAGCCCAGGTCCCAGCAGGCCTCGGTGATGAGGTCCTTGAGGGCCTCCAGCACCCGCTTGAGCACCGAGCCCTGCACCAGCCGCGCCTCAAACATGTTAGCGACAGCACCAGCGGGAGCAGCGGCAAAAACAACACACGGGCAGCGACGGAGGAGTGAGCGGGCCTCCCGCCCACAGCCCTCTTTATAGGCTCTGTCGCCCCGCTCACCTCGCGTCACAGCCAATGGCCAGCGCCGCTCCCCTCCTTCTGCCCAATCCCATCCGTGCTTTCATAGAGGACCCCCCGCTGTCGACCAATCACAGCGCCGCTCCGCCCCGTAGTCCCGCCCCACCCCTCGGCGGGAGCCAATCACCGCGCGTGTTACACAGAGCAGCGGCCCCCGCCTCGCTGCGCAGCGATGGTGGCGGGGCCCGGCCACTGAGGGGGAACCGATCCCTGCAGGGTCCCCCCGAGGGGATCCCCGATCGCTGCAGGGCCTCGGCTGAGGGGAGCGCTGACCCCTCAGGGCCTGCCCGCAGGGACAGCGCGGCGGGCGCGCCCCTCCTCAGACACCGCTTCCCGACGGGAACTGCGGGCCGGAGCGAAAAGCGGCCGCAGGCCCAGCCCGTTGGTGCCGTTAGGACAAACACCTTCCCGCGCGCGGGGCTCCCCCCTCGCTCCCTCCCTCCCTCAGTGACGCACTCTCGCCTCCATCATGGCGCCCCCCCAACATCCGGGTCCGCCCCAAGCCCCGCCCCCTTCTCCCATCCCGCGCCTCCCATTGGTCCCCGGCGGCGCCGCTCCCTCCCAACATGGCGCCCTCCACGAGCCCGCCACACCTGGGCGTGGCCGGTGCCGCTGAAACCCCGCCCCCTCGGGGCATCCCGCACCGCCCATTGGCCGGCGCGCGGCGCGGGGGCGCCCCCTGGCGGCGGCGGGCGGCGGGCGCGGGTCCGGCATGGCCGAGGTGCGGCAGCGGCCCGGGCGCGGCCTCGGCGGGCCTGGACCCCAGGACAAGGTGCGGGGCGAGTCTGGGGGCGCGGGAGGGTGGGGAGGGACGGGGGAGGACGGGGCGTGCGGCTGCGCGACCCCCTCGTGGGGTGGGTGTGGGGTGTGGGGTGTGGGGGGGCCGTTTATTTGCCCCTCGTTGGGTTTGTTTGTCACCCCCCGAAGGAGCAGATCGCGCCCCCGGAGAGGGGGTTCGACAGCCGGCCCCGGCTCCGCCGTGCGATGGGGATGTGAACTGTGGGTTTTTTTTTGGGGGGGGGGGCGTTTGGTGCCTCCGAAATGCCCCCCGGGGAATGGGGGGCGTTACAAACCTGCCCTCAGGGGGTGCCTCCCGAATCATCCCCAAGGAATGAAGGCGGGGGTGGGGGGTGCTGTTCCAAACCTTCCCTTAAGGAAAGATTTTGGTACGTCTTAAATCGCTCCCAGGGAATGAGGGGTTGGGGTTCCAGACCTTCCAGGTCCTGGGAGTGAGTTCGGGCTCCCAGACTTTGCCTTAGGAAAGACTTTGGTCCCTCCTAAATCCTCCCCAGGGAATGCCCTCCCTGGGTGGGCTCAGTGAGGAGTGAAGTTGTGTTTCTGTGAAGGAAAAGGTTTGTTTTTGCACTCAGAAGAGCCATGGAAAGCCAGCCTGGCTCTGTTTTCCTGTCCCCTGAGCCTGGCTGGGTGCTCACGGTCCCTCTCTGTTCCTGCTCCTCCCCGAAGAGGAAAGGACCAAGAGGAATAAACAGCCCGGGAAAACTTTGTAAATAATGTTTACAGGGTCACAGACAGCAAAAACCGGAGGGGAAAAGGGGTTCTTGCTGCCTTGGTGTTTAATGCACTTGTTTTGGGAGAGGCCCTGAACCCTCAGCACCATCACAGGGATCACCAAGGATGCAGCTCAGAGCAGCAGGAAACCATCAGGCTAAACTCTTCTGCAATTTAAATGCGATTTTAATGCTGTTTTAGTGCTGTTTGAGCACCAGTGGGACACCTGCAGGGGCTGTGCAGGCGGGATGGAGGCAGATTTGTCGTGCTGATGGGATGTGATCAGAGGGTGAAGGTTGCCTCGATGTAGATCTGGAGGTTCTGCCTTTCTCCCATTTTCCTGGAGCTCTCTGATCCCTGATTTCCTGAGCTGGGTGAGGGGCTGTGGGTTGTGCAGGGGGTGACACCGTTGCCTTTGAGATAAGAACCTTTGCCCCAAGCTGGAATTTTCTTTGCAGCAGAAAAAAATCTCCAGGGAGTTTTCTATTCCAGAACTTTAGTGGGAGTTGGGAAACCTCCCTCAGCAGGCTGGGAAGGGGAGGGGGAGCTGGTGCTGCTTAACTGGAGCCCAACCAACCCCCTGGGCCAAGCTGGGATTCACTTTAGCCCCTAAAAGAAGCTCAGAGGGCACAGTTCCCAGTGCAATCCTGTTATCTCCAGGCCAGCATTGTCATCTGCAAGGAGGCTTCTGAAGGACCCCCCTCTGATATTTCCTGGGAGTCAATGACTTGAGTGCCCTTCCTGGAGAGAGGGAACGCTTCTGTTGCTCTGCTCCTCCTGGAACAGCTCGAATTAATTTTCAGGAGGGAGAAAAATAGAAAGAAATTGTTTCCTAGCAGTGAGGAACAGCTCCTCCGAGGGGCTGAGTGTGGTGTTTCTGAGGAGAGAGCAGTGCTGGGAGCAGGGAATTTCCCTGAATTGTTCAATCCAGCTGCTGCTGGGAGGTGTTACCTGGTAACTAATCCTGCTGCTGTGGATCCCTCTGGGGCCAGTGCTTTCCGTGGCAGCTCAGGGGCAGGATTTGCTTTCCTCCCCCTGAGATCCAGCCCTTGGGTTTTGAAATGCCTGGAAAAGCCTGGGAACAGCAGCAGGGAAGGGGCCAGGGCAGCTGAATTGCTCGTGGTGGTCTCAGCCTTCCCGGGGCTCTGCTGCAGGTGCTGCTGGGAGAGGGGACATTCCCATTCCTGCTTTGTCATGCACTGAGCCCTGCCAAGGAAAAAACCACTCAGCAGCAGATATTTTACTCTCCAGAAACCCTCGTGGCTTCTGGAAAGAGCTCTGAGATGTAAACACCGAGGCAGGTTTGAGATGTAAACACCGAGGCAGGTTTGTGTTTTGTGCTCGTTCTCACTTCCCTGCTTCGACGGTGGGAACAGGGAGGTTGGTTTCACTTTCTGCTCCTCTCAGCCTTGCCCGGGGTGTCCCTCCCTGAGCTGCCCCAGTCGAGCTCCTCGTGCCAGAGCGTTTGAAAATCGATTTTTTGCCCAGGCTGTTGTGCAACACAATCCTCGTCTGGGAGGGAACGTCTGCTTGTTGTGCTCGGTGAACTCCCCCTCATCTCCCCAGTGAAAAACCAGGCAGAATTGCCCTGGTGGTGTTTGTAGGCATTTCCTAAGCCCAGAGCACGGGGATGCTGTTCCCTGTTGGTGTTTGTGGGGTGATCCCTGGGAGGAGATCGTGGAATCCTGGAATGGGTGGGCTTGGAGGGGACCTTAAAGCCCATCTCATTCCAGGGACACCTTCCACCAGCCCAGGTTGCTCCAAGCCCTGTCCAGCCTGGCCTTGGGCACTTCCAGGGATGCCACAGCTTCTTGGGCAACCTCTGCCAGGGCCTCACCATCCAACAAGTTGTAATTTGTTGCTGCCTTGCAGGTCCTTCTCCCTCGGTCTTTGTAGCCTCATTCATCACCCAAACCCAGAGGTCAGTGCCTCTCTCCCCTGTTCAGTGCATCCCAGGAAGCCCCATTTTCTCCTCCAGCTCCCAAGGAGAACACAAGTGCAAAAGAAAATTGTTTCCTGGTGCCTGCAGAGCTCCTGAGGGCTCCTGCTGCTTCAGGAGGGTTTTATGATCCTTTCTCAGTAGCTCTGTGCTTTGTGTGACTCCACAGCGAGGACTGAGGGGATCTTTCCTTTCCCATCCTTTTGCTGGGATGTTGCACTGGGAGTTGAAACAGGGGGGGGTTTCTCAGACATCCCAAGGCCTCTGCCTGTGGAAGGGGGAGCTGCTGGAACTGGAACTGGAATGATTCTGCACTTGAGGAGTGCAGGGAACAGCTGCCTGGGCTGGGCTGGAGCAGCAGCAGCAGCTCCAGTTTTGGAGTTCAGCTCAGGAGAGGGCTCAGGACACGGAGAAATAACAGTGCAGGTGCTCTGAAGGGTTTGGGCCATTTCAAGTCCTGTTACTTCCCACGTTGCAGGAGAGCTCAGAGCTCCTGCTGGTTGGGAGTTTGTGATAACAAGAGGAGGTTCTTGTAGGACCAAACCCAAGAAACCACTGCAGGGATGCTTCTCTTGATCTCATCAGGATTAAGAGAGGCTGAAGGACAAGTCTGCTTCCAGAGCCACTCCAAAAGCTTAATTTTTAATAGCTCTTAATATGATTTTAGGCTCAGTTCCAAGCACCAGTTCACTTGGCTCCTGCTGAAGCACAGACCTCGTTGATTGTGGAGAGATGTTCACCATCCCAGCTCTGCTGGGAGAAAACACTTCAGCCCTCCCTGCTGTTGGATTCTGAGCTCTGTGTGTGCCTGGCAGCTCCTGGGCATGGTTAATTGTGGCCTGGAGGGACTGGATTCACTGTGCTCCTGGTGGGAAAGGGCCTCAAATCAGACACCTTTGCCACAGTTTCCTTTGGAAGGGCTTTGATTGGCCTCTGCTCCTTCTCATTTGTGGTGATCCCAGGGAGATTTTTGTCCTTTTGAGGGTTGGGGGAGTCCCCTGGGGCTGTGAGGAGATCCTTTCCTTCCCAGTGAGCAGCTCTTCAGGGGACTCTCCGTGCTCTCATCCAGCCCCCCGAGCACACGGTGCTTTTCCTGTTGGGATAGATCCCTTTGGATAGTGCAGGGCTGGCTTCTGCTTCCCATCCTTATTTAATGAGTAGATTTACTCCTGTCTGGTCTGGGGGGCCACACCAGTGAGTGTCCCTCTCAGCAGTGCCTGGAAGTGGCCACTACCCCCAGAGCTCCCTGTTTTTCCCGGTGTTCCTGTGGGATCTCTGTGGATCCCAAGCTCCCTCCTGCTGCTCCAGTGGTGTAATCCTCAGTTCCAGTCATTTGCTGTGCACCAGGAGGTCAGGATGGCATGGGGTGATGGAGGGAGGCACATCCATAACTCCCTGTGGATACTCCTCTGGCTGCAGGTTGAGGTCAGGGCTCAGATGAGTTGCTTTGTGCATAAGTGACATCTCTGCTGAGGCTCCCAAAATCCTGTGCTCTCAGTGCTATCTGAGGGTGATTCCTGTGGGTGGAGGGCTGTTTGGTGCTGAGAAGAGGGAAGCTGGGATGTTTGTGTGTGTCTTCCAAGCAGGAAAAAAATCCTAAGGGCCAGTGTTCCTGTCTGTCAAGCACAAACCACAGGCTGAGTGGCAGGAAAACCACTTTCTCCTCCTGCCTGCCTTTGGTGAGCAGTGATTAACACCAGAGGTAAAAGTCCTTGCAGGTTGGAATCATAAAATCCCACTCTGGTTTGGGTTGGGAGGGACCTTAAAGCCCATCCATGGGCAGGGACACTTTCCACTATCCCAGGTTGCTCCAAGCTCTGCCCAGCCTGGCCTTGGACACTCCTGTGGCTTCAGCAAAGCCCTGATTTGGGTTCATCAGGATCATCTGAAAATACTCACCCAAGTCCTGTGTGGTTCCTTTCCTTGACTAGTTCAGATAAAGCCGAGGGGTTTGACTGGCAGAGCAGGATTGTGGCACCACAGCCAGCAAATTAAATAGCCTGGTGAGATTGTTTTTTTCCTGATTATGTTTTGGAAAAATACATGCTAACACCAGAGGAATTGAGGATCAGGAGCCACTGGTGTGATGCAGACTCTCATTTCAGAGGCCAAAAATAGCCCTTTCCTGCACTAACCTTTCAGAGTGAACAGTTGCTCCAGAGCTGTTTGTTCTCCCTCTTGTTTGTCCCAGCTCTTCCTGATGAGTCCCAGGGATGTGTGACTGCCCAGGGATCAGATTTGCTGATGGAGATCAGGCTCCTGTGCTGGCTCTGAGCTCATCCCACTGCCGAGGGAGGGACTCCCTGTCCCAACAGAGCAGGAGCTTCGGGGGCACGAGATGAGTTTTCTTTGC